TTAAGTGCATATGCATATATGTTTATAGCAAGGGGCTAACCTAAAATTGACGTATTTATACCTTATGAATGAGTTTGTTAATTGTTAGCTAGTTAGAATTTGAAACAAAAAATATATTGAGCATCATCTCTGCAGCGTTCTCTAATGGCCGACTACGTAGGGCCGTTTAGTTAGCATTGGTTGGAATGGAAAATAACTAATATCTCCTAAAAGGCTCAATTGTGGTAATGATTTTTTCTTTTGTTTGTTTGCTGAACATCGCAACTATTTTTTCGTGCAGTCCAAATATGGCCTTTTTTTTATATCCCGCCTTTCCTTCTCTGCGTTGCACACATCCGCTTTTACCACAAATCTAATATACCCCTTAACTCTTTTTTGAGTACGGGTATAAAAAATGTTCTCCGAGCTTGAGTACTTTTTGAGAAATATGCATTAACCTTTGCCTTTTGAGCACTTATTTCTTCATTTTTTCAAAAACAGAAAAATGGTCCAACTTTGAACAACGATTAAAAATACTAAAAAAAATTTTTAAATTATAAAATTTTGGTTGTGTATAGCTTAATCAATTCCTAATTGAAGTGTAACAAAAGTTTTGCCAAATTCAACAACGCAACGAGTTTTTAGAAAACGAGCCAATGTGAGAAGTCTGTGTGCGCTTAGCTCATCGTAGTTCGTAACCAAGTCTTCACTCTTTGCACTCTTTATATGCAAAAACCAAATCCGTAAACGTTCGTTTTTAGCATAGTGTGAACTACACATCTATCTCATGTTCAGTTCCGTGCAAATTATAAAAATCATTGGCTGCAGAAATGTTTGCTTTTACGTGGATGAAATTTAAATTTTCCATGGGGTAAAGAGAAATTTAAAAAATGCTTTTTTTCTGCAAATCTTTGCTTCATTGAACATATAAGCAAATATATTGCTCTCTGGTAATATATAGGTACCGTTTTAAATTGAGGATTTTCTCTATTTGCTTGCTTGTTTATAATTCCCGGCGTAGTCATTTCAATCGCAACGCTTTTTGCCACTTCAGTGCATTCCAAAAATATTGCATTAAATGCCCACAGGCTTTATGATACTGGGCGTTATGACACGAACCCGATCCATGCATCTCAACTATGTACAACATGTTCTGCATATGCTCAGAGCCCTTAATAATGTCCATATGTTTTGATTGTAATATGTTTGTAACGGGCTCAAGCACAGCATAATATTATGAAATAATACAAAGGCATACTATAAAAACACTTTTGCAGGCAGAGCTTAATAATTGAAATGCTGCTTTTCTTGTGGAAGTATATCCTTCTTCGTTTAAAGTTTGTAAGGCAACAATTATTTCAAAAAAACATTTTTTAAAGCCTCCAATGTTAGCATATTTTTTAGACAAACGTGTTTCATGTAATAATGTAAAGTAGGGATATATTTCCTTCGAACAACTGACTGACGACCAAATTAAGCTATGACTTGCACAATGAAAAACGAGAAGGAGCGTGTGAGTCGCTCCTATGGACGCGACACTACTTTAATACCCGTACTCAGTCCGTATATAAATTTGTCATTAGCTTATCCCAAAGCAAGCGTATATAACTCCACGACTATCCCAAAAAAACTGTTGCCATCACTTTTCCAGCAAAATAACAGCTTTCGCTTATTTGGTGGCAGATAAACCTTCGCAATCCACAGTTTTTATTCGAATTTGTTTCTGGAATATAGTGGTCTATCTATGATTCATCTACAGTTATGAGTCGGCGCCAAAACTCTGATGTATAACGCGTAAACATCGCCAAAAGAAACTTGCAATCTTTCATTCGAACACGCTTTTGATCAAAAGTGAGCAAACGCGGCAGACAACGTGCCGAACGCTTTCTCATGTCCAATTCGTGGTTCAAACTATGGCGAACGTGGTCTTTAGACATCTTGGTGATCTCTCTTACTTTGAGTTGGCGATCGTCTAGAAAAATTGTGTGAATTTTGGTGATGTTTTCGTCAGTGGTCACAGTTTTTGAGTGTCTCGGAGGTGTCTGATGTTCCAAGCTCATACGTCCACCCATAAATTCTGCAGCCCAGATTTTACAGTTGCAAATAATAGTGAAAAGTTCCCATAGATAGCGTCCATCTCGGTTTTAATTTGGGTAGGCGTATATCCCTTCAAAAAAAGAATATATTTTGACCGCATGATTTTCAACTTTTTCCATTTTTACAAAAGCACTGATGCAAAAGCCACAGGTGATGGCTGAAATTTTGGCGGTTTGGTTAACGTAGGAGGTCGTCTTCATTGTGAGGCTGGAAACTTATCGGGCAGCCCTCGTATTCGATTTTTGATAAAAGTTGATGCGTGTAATGCAGAGAATAGGAAACGTTTCCGACCCTATAAAGTATATTTATTCTTGATCAGCCGAGTTGATAAAGCCATGTCCGTCTGTCCGTCCGTCTTGTGTGACGTCTAGTTCTCAGAGACAATAAAATCTAGAGCAACCAAATTTTGTTTCAAGACTTATGTGAAATCAGACTAAATCAAGTTTGTTTCAAAATTTAGCCCCGCCCCACAAAGGACGAAAATCTTAAATACTAAAAAACAGACAATCTAGCGGAATAAAAGTAAAATTTTGATATATAAAAATACAATACACTAGTTAGGCTACCGATAATTTTAAATATTTTATTGATATTCGCTCAGCTGTGATCATTTAAAGCATTTAAAACATATGTTTTTGCATGTAATTAACAAATTCCCCCCCTCTTTTTACACTCAACAGATTTGGCTTGTAAATTACAAAAACTTGATTGGTTTTTATATTTTTGCTGTGTGAGTCCCTTCTGGGGACCCGACTCTACTTATACCCGTACTCAGTCAGTATATACATTTTTAAGCTTATGATTTTATAGAATTTTAGAATTAAAAAAAAAAATGTTACATTTTTTTGCTACATCTGTTATCTACATCTACTATGTATATTCTACATCTAACGTGTAGATTGTACATGTTCGATTTATATTCTACATCTCTTCCGCTAGAGGGCGCTCGCGTACATAACGAGGCAGAGTGTGCGAGCGAGAAAGAGATGGTGGGTCTTTTGGCGGAGGAGGCGGAGGAAGTAACTGAAAATTAATTTCTTTAATATTGCTTTAATTATGATCCGATCTGATTCAGATTCGGCAATCTGGTAGATATGGTCATTCTCTACATACTGCCTTTTCAGTTTTATCAAATCTTTAAAATTGTGCCTGCCACAGATTGTCGTCCTTTGTTTGGGCGGAAGGGGGCGTGGCAAAATTTTGAAATACACTTGTAGCAGTCTGACATCACATGAGCCTGGAAACCAAATTTGGTTGCCCTAGCTCTTAAAGTCTTTGAGATCTAGGCGCTCAACAAGACGGATTGACGGACATGGTTCTATCGACTCGGCTATTGATGCTGATCAGGAATATATATACTTTATAGTTAAGACCGCAATACCAGGCCAGTTTTTACAACAGATCGTTTGAAAAATGTAGTCAAAACTCTGAATAATTGGGAACTGAGTCCTTAAATATACCCGTACTCGAAAAGAGCTATGGGGTATATTAGATATGTGGTAAAAGTGGATGTGTGTAACGCAGAGAAGGAAACGTTTCCGACTCTATAAATTATATATATTCTTGATCAGCTTCAATAGCCGAGTCTATGTCTGTCTGTCTTGACAGAGATCTCAGAGACTATAGGAGCTAGAGAAACCAAATTTGGTTTCCAGATTCATGTGATATCACACTGCTAAAATTGTATTTCATTTCTCGTCCCCTTTCGCAAACACAAAGGACGAAAATCTATGGCAGGCAAAATTTTAAAGATACAACAAAACTGAAAACGCGTCCAAAAAAGCGACTCACACGTTTCTTCTCGTTTTTTAAATATTTTTACTGTCATCAATAAATAAATGCAGCATATAAAAAATTAATTTATTTTAGTTTTTAATATACAAAATGAAAAAAAAAATTTTTGTCTAAAAATGTCTTAGTTTATAATCATCAAGCAAAAAAAATTTAAAAAATATAGCATTATTATTTTAGAAGTTATGACTTTTATTCCGCTAGATTGGCTGTTTTGCACAGTGTGTATCGTAGAGAATGACCATGTCCATCAGATTGCCGAATCTCGTTCAGATCGAATCATTATTATAGCCAGAATGAAGAAATTAATTTTCAGTTTCTATCCCACCCCTTTCAACTCTGCAGCCGCTACTCATTCTCTTTCTGGCTCACACACTCTGCCTTGCCTCGTTGAGTGTGCGAACTCTGCCGGAGAACGAGTTAGAACACGCCGCTGGTGTGAGAAGTGATGTAGATGTAGATGACACATGTATCAAAAATATGTAAACTGATAAAATATTTTAAAACTCTACATAAATCAGAAGATCACATATATTCTGACTGAGTACGGGTATAGAAGAGAGTCGCGGCCACAAAATCAGAGGACTCGTTCCCTCTAGTTTTCTGTTTTATTATCTTTTATAAGAAAGAGATTCTTGATTATAGTTTGTCCCGTGCAAATAAATGAAAAATAAATAAATACCGCTGAAGCGTCTGTTTTACCCAGTGTGAGACTGTGTGGGTATGGAACCATCTAGAATACTTATTGGTCATTAGGTGGAAAGAGATAGACAGAAAGCAGGAAAACATTGTTTAAGGTACCGAAGCCATAAAATTACATATATTCATATGTATGCATGTAGAAACTGAGTATTGGGGATTATAGTGCACACGTACCGCGACTCTACGTCGGTGTTTAACTTTTCACCATTACCATAAACCATACTACGAGTACTATTTATGTAGATTTATGTTATTTTGTTACAAATGAGCTTACGATTGAATAAATCAAATGATTTCTTTTGCGCTCTCATGTATGACTTATGTACTGCGCAGTCTCGTGTTTGTCTGTACAAAATTTATATATTCTTTTACATGTACATTGGATCTTAACACTCACTACGAACTCAATCGAATAATATTGGGCGCCACAGAGAAGGGTATTTTAAAGAAACACGGCTATGGGCTCGTACACGGAGAGCAACTTAAAGACAAATGGGGAGACGATAACCAGTCGGACAATCTTGAGCTGATTACCCAGGACGGGACGCTGGCATCAACGAGCGGTGGAGTGGCTGCCTCCGAAGTCGAACGTACGCTTAAGTCCCTCAACGGATACCATGAGGATATTTTGGAGGCTCTGCGAAATGCGGCCACGCATCGTGGTACAGGAACCGGTAACACACCCGTTGGCAGTGGGAGCCTCAGCGAAGAAATGTTGCGTAAAACATTACAAGATTGTAGCAGCGCACAGTTAGGATATTCCGCAGAACCATACAAGCGCACTAGTGGATCTAAGTCCAGTTCCAGGGAAAATGTTTGTGACAATACCGCTGTACACGCCATATTACTTGACGGCAGCGGATCTGGCCTTGGTGGCCTGGGTCTGGGATCGAGCTTAGGTGCTGGGGGTGGATCAGCTGTTATTGCTGGGGGTATGGGGCATGGCAGTGCGATGCTGCATCACCATCGCTCGCAACACCAATTGCATCAACCGCCCCCTTTATCATTACAACAACAGCAACCAGACGAGGATGACGCTCCCTCAACAGGACCCTTGCGTATACGTAACTTGGAGGATCTTATACGGCAGCTTGAGCATCACTCGTCGCGACACATGAGTCCCAGCGGCTCCGAGGATATACGCATGTCGGAAACAGATGGTGATCGCCACTATAGATTAGATAGTTCCGCCGCTTGTAGTGAGTCCTCACAAGGGTTAGTGCCAATTATGATTAAATATATTAGTTTACCAAGTCTAACAAATGATTAACGCATTATCTGCATAATTTTCAAGCATTTTTTTTATTTATATGTTTCACGTCACAAAATATTCAGACCCTGATAAGCTACATAGTAACTTGCATACACTATTTGATTCATTCCTCGATGTTTCTACATCTATCTGATCTGCTCTTGTACTTATGCTATAGAAATAGCCAATGAAATCATGCTCATCATTAATCACAATTATTGATACGATTCTGTTTGCCTAAATTCATAATCTGATATTGTTACTGTTACGTAAATTCAACCGTAGCGCAGGAGCTTGATTACCTAATGTAATTTATGGCTTTAGAACTGTCCTACATAGACACAAAGACCTTATATATGTTCGCACATACACATACACAATCGCATCAACACAAGCATAAAAGAATTCTCGATGTACGTGTAAACAGCAACCTGACCTTGTACCGTCAACAGCATAAAAGCTATTGCCGGTTGTGACTTCAGTATCAAAAATGCAACTCAAGCCAACGCAAATTTTTATTTGCATTTCTTGCAGGCTTCAGGCTGGAATACCTTGTGTGATAAAGGTTCGTTGCCCATACGTAGCACGTCTACACTGACTTCAAATCTCATCTTGTGGGCTGACAGTCTTGAGCCAGTGAATATTGACTAAACTTCCTTTAATTATTTACATTATCACTTTTACATTTTTACATAACCAAAACCAATGTGGTGTCGATGTTAACGTTATTTGTTAAAACTATAAACACAACTCACAGTTCTTAATCAATTTCGGCATCGACTCACTTTCAGTTTCGTTCTCTTCCATTTCAATTCTAGTTATCAGATTTGACACTAACGCATTCGATTATTTGCTTGCCTCTGTTTTATCCCTATCGCTACAGCTCCAATCAGCAACTAGCACAAACTCAGAAAACCGCTACAATTCATTCTTCGTACAGCAGTCGCTGTCGTCCCCGTTCCGATGAGGAGTCGCGATTTGCTTATGGCAGCCGCTACCGACAGCCGACACCAGCAGGTCGACATGCACCACATCAGTCACACTCACCGCATACATTTGGACATCACACGCATCATTCTCACGCTCACGGACATGCCACGCATGGTCCCCACTCTTCGCATCACTCATCGCATACTCATTTACAACAGGAAGATGATGGTATATATGAGACCGCAGACCAACGCAACGTTTCTGATGCTCGTCTTGATTCACAGGAGACACCAGACAGCGAAAGGTGAGTCAATGTCTCTGTGTGTCCATCCTCATACCCCTGTTTTTATTTTGTATTTCTCATTTCCCCATTTGCCTATATTAAATTTAAATTCTGTCCTCATTTATTCATCTTTGGTTCAATCAATATTTTTTTTTTTTATTTCCGATTTTTCAAGATCCTTAATCTTTATTCCCAATTTTTTACCTATATGACTAGAGTCCATGACGTGAGTCAGCCAAGGGAAAATGTTTTCTTAGCTATGTGTAAATTAATGATCCGAAAATCCGATTTAGCAATCAGTTAGATATGATCATTGTCTATGATTCTGCATTTTAAAGTTTGTCAAAAATATAATTTTTAAGTTATATGGAACACCGAAACCTTACCCCTGAACAAAAACATTTAAAATAGTAATTTTTGAATTCTTCAAAAATAAAAAATAAATCCATACCCATACAAAGAATCAATAACACTACCCGACACGATTTTTCCTCAAGGAACTAAACCAACTTTTTCTGAAAGATTTGGGGATTGGAAATTGTTTGATGATATTATTTTCGTATAACTTAAGTATCTTGCATCTGGCTCTAAAGCATTCTGAAAAGCTAATTGATGCAGCTAGAAATAAGACACAAGTACTTTGTGGTTTTAGCTTGCCGTTTGGGAAATATTAAGCTTTAAAATGCAAAGATTATGATTTTTCTGCGGTATTTTTTACGAAATTTTGACTTTAAAAACTCAGGAAAAGTCGAAAAATCCTGGATTCTCTATTTTTTTATGTATAAGTGCATAAATTAGGCGTCGTTTAACGCATTGCTTCCTAAAAGCTATGGAGAAACTTTGGAGCTAAAATTCATAACCCAAACCTAAAAAAAAAAAACGAGAAGGAACGTGTGAGCTGCTTCTGGGGACGCGACTCTACTTATACCTGTACTCAGTCAGTATATACATTTTGAAGCATATAATTTTTTAGAATTTTAAAATAAAAAAAAAAATTTACATATTACATTTTTTTGGCTACATATGTTATCTACATCTACTATGTACAGTTGTGTTCAATGAAATAGCAGTGCCGCACCTCATCACTTTCAAAACTCTTTTTGAGACACTTCCAGTTATCCAAATTGAACAAATGATACCTTTTTAAATAGACTGGACTGTTACCATTAGAAAACCGAAGAAATATCAATACATTTGAATTCCATTTTCTTGTTTTACATGACATAAGCCGAATACCCATGAAATTTGCTGTTCAATGAAATAGTAGTGTTTTTTATAGAATATTGAAAAAAATAACGAAACTCAAATAAAAACATATATTTCATGTTCTTCATGTTTCCTGAGCTTTAATATTTAGTTTTTAATCAATTTGGTTTTCATTTCGAACTTGCACCGGCCGAACATGGGTCATTAATCTCTTGCCAACGCTTCAATAGGATTTGAGCCAATAATCCATGAACCACTTGCTAAAACTTGGCTCTGGTTCACGGATTTGCAGTTGCAACAATGTATTTGGTATTCCAGCATAAGATTTCGATGAGATTTATATCCAGTTGGACAGTTGGCCATGGCAAAACGTCGATCTTTTCCGATAAAAATCAATTCCTAGCGAGCTTTTCTGGGTATTTTAAGTCATTATCCGGTTAAAATATCCTTTTAACATGAATTTTTCAACTGTAATATGAATGTAATGTATTCTAAAGTATGCCTAAATACACAGTTTCGCTCAAAACCATAATATACTCAAACGCCAGGCTAGAAAGTACTGGCCCCATAGGGCTCAGCCTAGCATGCCCAATGCTATATTTTTCATGATTTTAGGTGGTAATCGGATTTATGTTTGTGGATGCCAAACATAATCTTTTGAGTTTATCTTACCATATAATACAACTCTACTATCATCAGTTAAAAGCATTTTTGTCACTGTGAACACAGGCCAGACCACATGCGTTTTTCCAAACTGAAGTCACCTATGTACTATGTATCCAAACGCGGAGCTTTCTGGGACTTCTTGCATTCAAATAATGTATAAAAGACCGTCTAAGAACTGTCACATCATTGACAGAGCGATTTAAAGTTGTTTTCATAATTTTTGAGGATATTAAAGGCCTGGTCTTGCCTTCGACCATCGCCGACCATCCTCTAAAAAATAAGTTTTTCGCATACAAAATCGATTTCCAGTCTACTTCTTTTAGTTAATTGGGTTAAATACAATAGTGAGAGTGCCTACAACTTAGTTTTCAATCCCATTATGCCTCCTGCCTTAAGTTTTTAGTCTAACTCTTAGGTCTCCTCTTCTGGACCGAGCAATGATTTCTTCAACGCCTCAAAATCAAAAGTACCGCTATGTCCAAAACTTTCTTTCATCAAATTATTCAATAACCAAATTGAGCTTACGGGTGGTGACTTATTTAAATTAATTTACTTTGTTTTTTCATTTTTAAAAATTAATTTAACCCAGCACTACTATTTCATTGAACAGTAGATATCATGGGTAGTTGTCTAAAGTCATAAATAACAAGAAGATAGAATGAAAATGTAATGGGGTTTCTTCAAGTTTCTAATGCTTACATTCCAGGCTTTCCGTAAAGGTATCACTTTTTAATTTGAAAGACTAGAAATATCTCAAAAAGGGTTTTGAAAGTAATGAGGTGCGGCACTACTATTTCATTGAACACAACTGTATATTATACATCTAACATGTAGATTATAGATGTACCATTTATATTCTGCATCTCCTCCGCTAGGGGTTGCTCGCGCACTGAACGCGGCAGAGTGTGCGAGCGAGAGAGAGATAATGTAGCGGATCTCGCTGAAGTAGGCGGGGCAACCAACAGAAAATTAATTTCTTCATTCTGGGTATAATTATGATTCTCTACGATACGGCGTCTTTAGTTTTATCGTATCTTTAAAATTGGGCCTGCCACAGATTTTCGTCCTTTGTTGGGGCGGAAGGGCGAAATTTTGAAATACACTTGTAGCAGTGTGATATCACATGAGTCTGGAAACCAAATTTGGTTTCTCTAGCTCTTATAGTCTCTGAGATCTAGGCGCTTATCAAGACGGACAGGCGAACATGGCTATATCGACTCGGCTATTGATGCTGATCAAGAATATATATACTTTATGGGGTCGGAAACGTTTCCTTCTCTGCATTTTACCACAAATACAATATACCCTAGGGCGGCGCTTATTTTCGAAATTCCTGAATTTCAAAGGTCTCAGGTCTTAAAATGTTCCTTTTGTTATGAAACAATAAAATAAAAAGTTTAAGCCCGATTGGAATACGTTTAGAGGTGCAGACTTGAGGTCAAAGTTTAAAAAAATACGATATTTTGACAATGTTTGTATGAAAGCTATACCTTATATCGCTCTGATCGGACTGATTTTTTTTATGATTTAAAATATGAGAATATAACTCTTCTCCAAAAATTTAAACTCAATTGGTTAATATTTAGTTTTTTAATTTTTTCTTCCGCTGGGTCGTTACAAAAGCGTTGCAAACATTTGATACTAAAAATCATTTTTTTTAAGTATATGACCATGAAATAATAAACTTAGTATAGACTTTCGTTTTAATATGATTTAGCAACAAAAAGAAATGAAAATTAAAGGAATAGGATAACATTTGCCAAAACCACCGGCTAGAGAAGTCACAAATGCATGATATAGCGGCTGTTTTTTGTCGCTAGGTGTACAAATTTCGTGCTTTAATTATTTTTTGTGGGCTTAAATATTAACCAATTGAGTTGAAATTGTTGGAGAAGAGTTGTATTCTTATATTTTAAATTATATAAAAAAATTAGTCCGATCAGAGCGATATAAGGTTAGCTTCCATACAAACATTGTCAAAATATCGTATTTTTTTAACTTTGACCTCAAGTCTGCACCTCTAAACGTATTCCAATCGGGCTTAAACTTTTTATTTTATTGTTTCATAACAAAAGGAACATTTTAAGACCCTGAGACCTTTGAAAATCAGAAATTTCGAAAATAAGCGCCGCCCTAATATACCCCTTAACTCTTTTTTGAGTGCGGGCATAAAAAAAGGTTGCGAGCCCAACTGGCAATTGGGCACAAAGGAACTCGATCAGGTACCAAATGTACAACCCTTTTTCGTTTGCTTTTTTCCCAATTGGTAGTTGGGCCCGCAACCTTCAAAAAGGTATTTTGTTCGTTTTTTTTTTTTCATTTTTTAGGTTTGGTTAACGAATTTTAGCTCCAAAGTTTCTCCATAGATTTGCAACCAGACGTAAGATACTAGAGTTATGTGAAAAAAGAAGCGCTACCTCTGAAAAAAACTTTAAAAACAATACCATTTTTCAAAAATTTAAAAAAAAAGTTCTGCCATAGAAAAAAAACCATAATTCTTAAAAAAAAATTAAAGTTGTATATGTATCAGAAAAAGTCGGTTTGGATCCTTGAGGATCCTCCGATTTGTCGAGTAGTCTTATTATAGCCAGAATAAAGAAAATAATTTTCAGTGAGCTCTCGCTCACTTACACTATGCCTCGTGCAGAGTGCGACCTTGTGTGCAGTAGATGTAGAATCTACAATGTAGGTGTAGATGACAGATGTACCAAAAAAATTCAAACTGATAAAATATTTAAAAATTCTATACAAAACATAAGCTAACATACATGTATGTTTTCTGACTGATATAAAAGTAGAGTTGCGGACAACCTCTTTTTTTGTTCTAATTGCTAATAAGCAATTAAATATACACAATTTTTTTCAAATTTATAGTTTAATGTGTAGGCGTTCCTACCACGAAACGAAAATTTAGATTTGAAAAAAAAGTTCTTCGGTTTTTTTAAATAATATTGAAACCTAGAAACTTGTTTATATTATTAATAAGGTACTTGTATTTTTATTTACTGAGAATAAAGTAACGATTGGTGATAGTCGGGAGGTTCAGCTAAGGTTAATATTTGTATTTAACTTGTTTTCAAAAACATATGCAGATTTTTTGCTGACAATAATTACACTATCCTACACGATTTTTCTTCAATAAGCCGAGCCGACGTTATTGAGGCTTTGAAACTGTTTGATGTAAGTTTTTGTCTAAGCCAGAACTTTTTTTAAAGAATTAAAAAAATATGGTATTTTTGTTAATGCTTTTAATAGAGGTAGCGCTTCTCTATTTCGCATAACTTAAGTATCTTACATCTAGCTGTTATTAACTATTTCTGAAAAGCTGATGAACGCATCTATAAATGAGACCAGCACTTTTTTTAGCTTCAGCTTACCTTCGGGAAATATTAAGCTTTCAAATGCAAAATTGTTCATTTTAGTGCGATTTTTTTTTTTTAATTTCGACTTTAAAAACTCAGGAAAAATGGGGGGAAAATATATCCAATGTCCTTTTATTGTTTGTGTATAGGTGTATTATTGGGTGTATTAGGCGTCGTAATATGTATTGTTCATGCAAATTACACTACTCGACAAAATCGAACTTTTTTTTTCCTCAAGGATCCAAACCGACTTTTTCTGATAGATATGGGGATTTAAAATTTTTTAAAGAATTATGGTTTTTTTTCTATGGCAGAACTTTTTTTTGAAGAATTTTTGAAGTCTGGTATTTTTTTTTATGCTTTTTTCAGAGGTAGCGCTGTTTTTTCACATAGCTCTAGTATCTTACGTCTGGTTGTAAAGAACTTTGCTATTTTGAAAAGATAATAAAAACAGCTAGAAGTTAAGCCCAAACACTTTGTGATTACAGCTTACCGTCTAGGAAATATAAAGCATTGAAATGCAAAAATTATGATTTTTGTGCGGTATTTTTTACGAAATTTTGACTTTAAAAACTCAGGAAAAGTCGAAAAAAAATTATATCTTGTATCCTCTATTTTTTTGTATATAGGTACGTTAATTTGGCGTCGTTTAAGGTATCGCTCATTAAAATCTATGGAGAGACTGTGGAGCTAAAATTCGTTAACCAAACCTAAAAAATGAACAAATAGACAAATAATACTTTTTTGAAGGTTGCGGGCCGAACTTCCAATTGGGAACAAAGCAAACGAACAAGGGTTGTACATTTGGTACCTGATCGCGTTTCTTTGTTCCCAATGGGCAGTTGGGCTCGCAACCTTCAAAAAGGTATTTTTTGTTCATTTTTTCCATTTTTTAGGTTTAGTTAGCTCCAAAGTCTCTCCATAGATTTTAATGAGCGATACCTTAAACGACGCCAAATTAACGCACCTATACACAAAAAAATAGAGGACACAAGATATAATTTTTTTTCGACTTTTCCTGAGTTTTTAAAGTCAAAATTTCGTAAAAAATACCGCACAAAAATCATAATTTTTGCATTTCAATGCTTTATATTTCCTAGACGGTAAGCTGTAATCACAAAGTGTTTGGGCTTAACTTCTAGCTGTTTTTATTATCTTTTCAAAATAGCAAAGTTCTTTACAACCAGACGTAAGATACTAGAGCTATGTGAAAAAAACAAGCGCTACCTCTGAAAAAAGCATAAAAAAAAAATACCAGTTTTCAAAAATTCTTTAAAAAAAAGTTCTGCCATAGAAAAAAAAAATATATCATCAAACCATTTCTAAGCCCCAAATCTTTAAGAAAAAGTTCGTTTTGTTCCTTGAGGAAAAATCGTGTTGACTAGTGTTATTGAAAAAACAGCTTAGCCCTCCTTAAATCACATTTTACAGTTTGAAACGTTGCTGGCCCAAAATTTTGGGCAAAGTCATTAAAACCAGATAATATACTACAGTTATGTAAAAAAAATCGCTACCTCTGAAAAAAGCATAATAAATATTAGGTTTAAAAGTTCTTTAAAAAAAATGCCGTACAAAAAATCATATCTCTTAAAAAAAAAAATTCTTTGGCTTGGACACTATTTTATGTACATGTGTACATATATACATACATATGTACATACATATTTACATACAAATATTTACATCTTTTTCGAACCTTCTTATAGAGACAAGTATAATTTATATACCAAGAAAACTAATTTTCGCAGTTTAAGCCGGAATCTTTTTCCAATCTTACCCTCAACCTAAACCAATCCTAGTCCATTTTTCCCGCTAGCGCCCCCTGCGTTCTTACCATGTACCGTTGTTCCTGTTACGATTATTATTTTCTAGTGATGACTTTATTCAAGCTCAACAACAGTTAGCCCGGTGGGCGAGTGAAGATGTGGTATCCGTCGTGGTATTGGACCAGCCGCAGTCCGCAACAATGTCGGATTCCCAACCATACAACGGCGTAGGACCAATGTCAGGGGCTACAACGAGCAACGTTATCCACCATCAGCATCTGCATCAGCACCACGGCGATCCTCAATCCTCTTCAGCGGCAACGGCGGCGGCAGCCAGCAACAACTGTATAATGGGTTTGCCAGTCGTCCAAAATGGTACAAGTGTAAGTCAGAGGGACTTCTATCCCTCACCACCCTCAACGGAGACGGAAAGCAGTGGAAGTGCTATCCAGCTTCGTACTCGACGCATATTACAGTCGGCCGACACGGTAGGAACAAGTCAACAACAGCTACAGCTTCATCAACTACCGTTATATCAGCAGCACCATCATCAGCAGCAGCTTCAACATCAATCAGGCGATACCAGCAGCAGCAACAACAGTCAATCCGGACAAGTCATCGAGAATGGTTGCTACCCGGAATATAAACATTGATAGTGCAAAATCATTTACTTTAAAATGTAACCGACATACATTGACATTCGCATTCGTACAGATATCCGCAATCAGCCGCGCCGACTCACGCATGCATAGAGGCTCAGCCACAGCATCGCTTTTTTTTATTATGTGAGATAAGAAGATCTTGACCGGCATTTCTAATCGCATACACGTATGCTTCACTTGAAATACACAAGTGCATAAGCGTATTCTGACGTCTTATGTAACATAACAGAAATATAACTGCAATGCTAATAAACAAGTTAACCAAATGAGAAAAAAAACAAACAAGCAGAAAAGGTCAAAATCAAATTAATAAAGAATATTACGATTTATGAGCGAAAACTTACTACACAAAGGATTACACACATGCATACATAAATACATACCATTGAATATTTACATAACCATACATTCGTTCATTTTAACGTTAATCTAATCTTATTCACCTTCGCAAAAAAAAAGGATTTTGTATACCTCAGGCCCAAATAATGCCAGCGTCTGAGTAGGAAAAAAATTGAGCAGGCTGCTGTAAATAAAAAAAATGTTTAAATGTGCTAGATAGTTAATTATACGACTCTTTGCCAGACGAGTCTAGAACTTGAAAATTCGACAGGAAAGTAAAATGCACTCGTGCACCGAGCCGAACATGCGCTTGATGGTGCCTCTCTATTAGGGCCCTCTTAAACCGACTGATAGAAACATTTTGGGCAAATACTGTCAGTTCTCGTTAAAAAATCTCAAAAAAAAAACCAATATAATAAAGAACAACAAACACAAAAATAAAGATCTCTAACTAGAAATTTTAATTACTTTTATATGGTAAGCATCTTAGATTCGTAGGTGTAATGATTATTCAAAATTAAACCATGACCGTTAAATGTTAATTTTAGGGATACGGAACATTAGTTTTACATAGTATATGTCATTTATATAAATAAACGTGAAAAGTACCATTAATAAACTTAAATAAATAAGTGCTTTGTAAATCGTATCAATTTTATCTTGTATAAATGGTGTTACGCGAGGATATGGAGAGATATATCCAATTAAATATTTTTTATCAAAAATATTCGTACATACATACATTTGTATTTATTTACAAAGGTATGTTTAAATCCCTTAATTCTCAAGCAACTAGACAGAAAAAATTGCCAAATCCAATTCGAATTCTTATGTCTTACTCAGGCAAATAAATTAAATTTATTACAAACATGTCAAACATGGTATTCCACAAAATTGTGAAACTTGCACCGCGATATGTACATATTCTTAGGAGGTGGTACATTCAGTCGTTCAAAATATATGTACATATGTATCTTCTTCGACAAAGTGATAGCGGGACTGGTCATTTTTTAATAACTCGAGACATTACATAGATTTTCTGCGTTTGGGCAATGCAATGTTCTTGCCACAAATAAAATAACATAGACTCGTTTTATTATTTCGCATATAACAAGCAATTTTTAATCCTTTTTCATCTAGAAACAAAATGAATAAGTAATAATCCAACTGATTAATAGCAAGGTTCCAACAGGACACATTCGTCCAATTAAGTCAATCAGCAGGTTCCGGCTTTCACTTTCACTTTGCGTTTTACTTTTCAGCCAATAGCCTTTTCACACTGGGGACCATCCACCATCCATGTCTGGGATGGTCCGTAAGGTATTGCCATTCCGAAAATTTCCTAGTTATTCCACCATCCATCTGGGATGTTCCTAATTCTCACGTTTCAGTGCGGTATTTTTTCGATAATTGTCAAATGCAACCATATTTCACAACAAAAAATCGGAGATCACTACGAAAATGTAAACAATGACAGACAGGAAAATATAAAAATAAAACAAAATAACCCCATCAGATCTCACAAAGCACGCAAAATATAAAAAAATATCAAATATCAGCTGCAGGTGGTTTTATTTCGATGTGACATCCATCTAACATAAAAATTAAGTGATGAAATTAATTTACATATATGTATATACATATATTATGGATGATTTTATTGCATTATTACCAATTGCACCAGGCACTGAGGAAACCCAATTTCTTCAAATGCTTGGACACACTCGTCAATTTTCTCTGAAGTGAGATAGTTTTTGGACCTGTATTCCTCTGAGAATTCGTTGATGAATGCTCTGCAAAACTCATGCAGGATATTGCAGACGCTGTTGGCTGACACTCCGAAAAACACTCTTTTCAGAAGAAGATCCCAAAGTATATAAAGATATGGCGATACGCTTCTTCAGAGGAATTGCAGCTCGGCAGTTTGTGTCCTTCTTCCGTAGCACTTCCAAGCGAGTAACCAACAGAGAAAAGCAGGATCTCTCCATCCTAAAACTTTCCTTAAAAAACGCCTCGTTGTTTTCGGGTACATCTTTCTCCCAAAATGTCCCAAACCATTTCTCAGAAAACATAGAATATGTATTTGTATTTAAAACATTGATTGGATTTAGTAGAAGCAGTCACAAATGACCACGCTTCAGTGTTTTCAAAACATCTATTCCAATAAATTCTTGTCAATTTTGGCCTCATTATCATACTCCATGTCCAGCAACATGATTAGATTGTGCAAGAATATATTTTGGTGCTGAATCACATTCACAACCATTGCAATATTATTAATACTCATTAAAATTAGTGTAAATCGGTGTTTCACATCTTTCGAAAATTCCCACCATTCCCCCGGGATGGGCTCAGTGTGCAGAGAGCATAACAGTATAGGGAGTAAATAAATCGACTTTTGTGGATTCCAGAGCGCCTTGAAATGAAAATTATTACTCTTGTACTCTCTGCACACTGAGTCCATCCTGGGGGAACGGTGCGAATTTTTGAACGATGTGAAACACCGATTCACATTGACACCATCCACCATCCACCATCCATGAGAAACAGCTGTTGCTCACAATTGCGAAGGTGAAAATTTGTTTACTTTAATTAAAATGAATATAAATAACATTTCAATGGTCGTAAATGTGATTCAGCAGCAAAACATATTCTTGCACAAGCTAATCATGTTGTTAGACATGGACGATGAAGATGAGGATAACTTTGACGAGGAGGAGATAATAGAATGGATATCTGTTTTGAAAACACTGAAGCCCGGAAGGTTGTGGTCATTTGTGAGTGCTTCTAATAAATGCAACCAATGTTTAAAGTACAAATATATATGTTATGTTTTTCAGAAGCGTTTTTTAATGAAAGTTTTCTATAGCCATAGCATTGTATACTTTGGGCTCTTTTTCTGAGCACAGAATAGTCGGAAGGCTGTCAGCCAAAAGCGGGTGCAATATCCTGCATGAGTTTTGCAGAGCATTCATAAATGAGAGGATCCCAGAGGATAGTGAACAAACCGAGTTTTGTTCCGGAGACAATTCTGACATATCAGATTATTTGTTGTTTTTTTTTTAACCATTTTCCTGCCTGTCATTGTTTACATATTCGTAGTGAATTCCGATTTTTTGTTGTGATACCGCACAGAAACGTGCGAATTAGGAACATCCCAGATGGATGGGAACTTTTCGGAACGGCAAAACCTTACGGACCATCCCAGAAATGGATGGTGGATGGTCCCCAGTGTGAAAAGGCTATTAAGCGCAAAATTTGTTGCCGTTTTGAAAACGGAAAAGCCTTGCGTTTTACGAGTGCGGGAGCGCCTGACTTTTTGTTTTGAAATTAAATCACATTTTTTATGTGAAAGTGAAAACCGGAGCCTGGCTAAATGATTTGATTTAATCTGCTGCGTAATAATAATAATCTTCAACTTCTAAAGGAATCTAGCAGAAATCTCCATTATTTTGAGAGCGGAACAGTGAAACAAAGCAATCGCGAATTCGTACATATTTGACGATTATTGTGTCAGCTAACATTACTTAGTTTACGAATTAATTTCCTTTAAATCTTTTTTTTTTTTGTTTGAAATATTTACATATTTAAGAAATAATATAAAATGAAAAATTATAAGAAATATTGAAACTATGTGAGGATAACAACTCGCGACGATTGCATTTATTTTGGGATTAGCGCAAATTCTTTAGCGCCCAATAAGTATTTGCATGAGTTAATCACCAATACTAGAAAAAATCCATATAAGCGCAAAAGAGAAAATAAGAGAATATAATGCACTTTTAAGAAATATAAAATCAAAGTGCTCTTCATCCTTAAAATCCAATATACGACCAAGGATCGCTATGATGAGTCGTTGAATTACTTATTTTCCAGGTCAAGTCAACTGTTACATGCCATTACTGAGTTCAGGATGTAAAACTACAAAGTATAAATATATTTAAAATTAAACTGCATCGATTTTTCTTGCTATTTTTTTGACTCTGGACATAAAACAAAATTTTTTATGGAATTTACACATAAATCCAGCATGGTACTCGGAGATTGGTTCGTTGTCTTTTTTTTTACTTCCATTGCATCTCAACAATAGCTGGTACATATGTACATATTTATTTGCGAATAAATAAAGTCCAGCATGATTTTTTCCATAATATTTAGATCGATTCTGTAATTTTTACTATGTACTTTTATTTTAATGATTTGCGATTACAAGAACAAACATTTTTTTGCAGTTTTACTGAATTTTTGTATACATTTGAAGAGGGAATAGTATTTTTTGTAGAATCTGCGCTCTAAAAAACGTTCGCCCAAAACGGACTTATCGAAGCATAATAAATCTTGGACAAACGAATACCAACGTGTAAGCTCTGTAAGCAATAAAAAAAAGAGACAATACTGAGCTCGAGCTCAAACAACAAAACGAAAGTCAACTCTCGTCACTCAGATGCAACTCTTACTTCGCTATACGCGCACCTGAGGTAACAGCAACAACAACAACTGCGAGTGAGCGCGGAGAGAGCACGCTCTCCCTACCATGCAATATTCTTCCCCAGCAGCACATTGCAAAGTGAGTCGTAAAGCGCCTAGTGCCCGTCCCCCTACGACTACGGTCTTGCTAATAGCATCAACGACCAATGCCCTCGCTTACAACTGTTTCTTCGACTTCAACAACGACAGCCTGGGCTCGATCGCTTTCAAATGATTGGAAAATTATGCCCACAAGCAACTAAGAAATTTGTAGCACGCAAAATAACAAAAACATCTAAAAAAAGTTTGATAAATAAGGCGTTGAAAAACAATAGATTCGCGATTCGCAAAAGAGGATGATGATAATTTTCAAACGACAACCCCATATATTTATGTTCGACAGGTAAAATGTACAGAATCGGCTAAAAAACCAACTGATAAAATAGGCGAACAAAAATTTTATGTCACGTCCATAAAAAGGAGTAACATAAATTAAACAAAAATGCAAGTCACTGACTACACAAGTCAACATGACATTTACGCTGTGGCCCAAAATGACTTTTTCTTATCGATTTCGGGGTTTACAAATTTTAAACGAATTATTGTTTTTTTTTTTTAATTTTTAAAAGCCGGTATTTTTAATGTTTTTTTTTCATAGGTAGTGCTTCTATTTTTCACATAACTTAAGTATCTTATATCAGGGTACATAGAATATTGCAGTTCTGAAAAGCTGACTAATGCAGCTAAAAAACCGACCCAGACATTTTGTAGCTTCAGCTTAACGCCTGGAAGATATTAAGCTTTCAAATTCAAATTTCATAATTTTTTTGCGGTATGTTTTGCGGCTGCAACTTTGCCGTTTATCCATCGATTATCCAAACGATACCTTAAACGACGCCTAATTAAAGCTTCTATCCACCACCAAAAATGTTGGCCAAGAATTATTTTTTTTCGACTTTTCCTGAGTTTTTTTTCGGGAAAAAATACCCCACAAAATTATGGCAATTGGCTATGAGCAGAATAAATGTAAATAAAATTACCCAACCAATGTTCCAGGTAGAACTGACACTGACAGTATGCCTATAAGTAAAAATGAAGTTCACCCAGCCTACAAGCTTATATTTCTACTGCACCGTTAAAGAACCGCACAAACGAAATGGACCCATACAAGTCGTCAAGAATTTGGTCACACGAAAACTTATTGCACTCTCCCCTCATTTTCCTTGCCAGCGGGGATATACATCTCACACTAAAGGAGACTAATCTGCCAACAAATATATCAATTGTGGGAGAAACCACACTGCCAACTTGATAGATTTTCCTGTCTATAAAGAGTTAAAAAATCGCCAAATCCAACAAAAAACTGCAGTTTGATCAACCCAATGGTAAGGCTCAAATTATCTACAGGCATCATAAATTCATATCGAAACTCAAAACGGGTACTTAAACCTAGCCGCCCACCACGTAATAGGTGAGTGTTTTATAGGAGCTGGTGACTACAATGCCAAGCACACCCATTTGCCAACCCGAATCTTCTCTATCAGAGACTGACAAAAGGAACGTGCCATGGGGTCTTTCTTCATGGCGAGCTGTTGAAGCAGCGGAAGGAGCATGAGTACCTATAACGCTGGACGCCCGCCTCATATTTGCCAGCCACACAAGGATGGTTAGAAGCGCCTTGGAAAGCAAGGCTAGAAAACTCTACTGGCTTCTTAAACCTAACACCAAGCTCAGCCTGGCGAACAAGATCCGCATATATAAGGTAATCCTGCCGCCTTCAGAGATCCTTGACAGGATGAGGGTGTTTCAGAGAAAGACCCTCCGAAAGATCTCTGGTGCTGAATGGTATGTCCGTAATAGAGACATCGCCAAAGACCTTGGAGTTCCCTCAGTCGGTGACATTATTAACGAGCAAGCCACAAGATAGAAGCCTCGCTAGAAGATTGGTAAGGAGCAGAACCAGGCGAAAGTTAAACCACATAGATCCGTACGACTTGGCCACCAGGAACATATTATTTCCTGTTGCACAATCTCCGTTTTCGTCCGTTTGTCCCGCATTTAACTTTAAATAGTAAATAGAAATTGTCCCTGAGGCTTGACAAAAGTTGCTAATCAACAGTAACAGTACGCTAACTAATTTTACTTTATTGTCTGTGATAATTGTTGAAAATAAACGTACATAATAAAACTAAAAAAAAAAAAACCAAACCTGACGACAAGTATGCAAATCTTAATCTAATAGATTTATTTAATTAACTAAGTATTGCTGGGTGAGAGGGTCTTTTCGCCGGAGTCGTGTATGGCTAGTGTGCCAAGTTAAAGAGTGTGCAAGTCTATTAGGATGGGCCTGAAGCTTGACCTGATGCTTTGCTTTCACCTTTCATCTTTAACTTCAATTGGATGATATTCAGAGATATATTTTGCATTTTACAGCGAAACTTCTTTGCTGTAGGTATGACTCCAATATTCCATGGATGTTCTGTGAAAGTAATGTTTTGATTTTGTGGATCAAGCCATCTAGCCAAATGCGGCCGAAAGCCAGTGTGACATCCAGAACGAGAAGGAACGTGTGAGTCGCTTCTGGGGACGCGACTCTACTTATACCCGTACTCAGTCAGTATATACATTTTTGAGCTTATGATTTTTTTGAATTTAAAAATTACAAAAAAATTTTACATTTTACATTTTTTTTGCTACATCTGTTATCTACATCTACAATGTATATTCCACATCTAACATGTAGATTGTACATGTACCATTTATATTCAACATCTCTTCCGCTAGAGGGCGCTCGCGTACATAACGAGGCAGAGTGTGCGAGCGAGAAAGAGAATCAGTAGCGTCAGCAGCGCTGGAGAAGGAGAGGGAAGCAACATAAAAATTAATTTCTTCATTCTGGCTATAATTATGATCCGATCTGATTCAGATTCGGCAATCTGGTAGATATGGGCATTCTCTACGATACTGCGTTTTTAGTTCTATCGTATCTTTAAAAATGTGCCTGCCACAGATTTTCGTTCTTTGTGTGGGCGGAAGGGGGCGGGGCGAAATTTTGAAATACACTTGTAGCAGTGTGATATCACATGAGTCTGGAAACCAAATTTGGTTTCTCTAGCTCTTATAGTCTCTCAGATCTAGGCGCTCATCAAGACGGACAGACGGACAGACGGATATGGCTATATCGACTCGGCTATTGATGCTGATCAAGAATATATATACTTTATGGGGTCGGAAACGTTTCCTTCTCTGCGTTGCACACATCCACTTTTACCACAAATCTAATATACCCCTTAACTCTTTTTTTAGTACGGGTATAAAAACAGCGGAGCATTTCGTATATCAGAGGTTATATGGTTTACTTGGTCAATGGTTCCATGTATTTCGCGAAATCCAAATTGGTGCATCGGGATGGCACCGTGGATGTGTAGGTGTTTCTTGATACGATTCAGGAGCAGCTTTTCCAATATCTTTGATAGGCAAGGGAGTAAAATGATACGTCTATATGATTAGGCTTGGGCTTGTCTTTTCCGGCTTTATGGATCATTGATCATCCATTCTTGAGAATAAAGGCCCCATTTTATCATGCTGTTGAATATAATGGTCAGGAAATATACTGCACAGCTCGGCAATTCTATAATAATTTTAGGGGAGATGAAATCGTCTCCCGGAGCTTTTATTTGCTTTGAGATTTGGTATTTAATGACCCTGTGACTTCTCCTGATTGGAATATCATAGGCTGAGTATCTTCGGGATCGTTGGTAGGTGGAAGCACAAAGCTATTTTTTACTGGGTATGGTTAGGTTAGGTTAACCCAGACCTTAGTTGTCCGGATGGGGTAGTATGAACCTTTCGAAAGTATTTATGAGGTTTTGAAGTCCCTAAGGATCGAGGTGTTTTTGGCAAAGGCTAGCAGTTCCCCTGGCATCCTCTTGGAGGCATCTTCCAGTGATGCCAGTACCGGGGCGCCCAGGTATATTCTCCTAGCCCTTGAGAGAGCCGGGCAGTTGCAGATGAGATGTTCCAGGGTTTCAGTTGCCCCGGATTCCTCGCATATCCTGCAGTGGCCACTGTTGGTGATGCCTAGTTTGACAGCATGTGCCGCGGCCAGACAGTGACCTGTGAGTATTCCCACCAACATTCTGCAGTCCTTCCGTGGGAGGTGCAGTATGTAGTGGCTGAGTTTCCTGTTGCGCTCCTTGCACATGGTTTTTGAGGTTCTGCAGGTGGTGGTTCTGCTCCACCTGCTTCTTGCCTGTGTGTCGGCCCGTTTCTCTAAATCGCTTTGGAGCGTTCTAAGGGAGACAGGCACGTTCTCAGTTCTGTCGTTTGCCAGCCCGACGCCGTCCTTAGCCAGACCGTCCATCTCGTTGCCATCGATGCCTTGGTGGCTGGGAACCCAGTAGATCCGCACTGACTTTGTCGTGCTTAGGATATCTAGTGCCTCCCTGCTTGCCAAGACATTTCTGGAACTGACCGCCGACGACTGCATGGATCTTATCGCCGCCTGGCTGTCCACGAACAGGTTGATCACGTCGTGTGGACGATCCGTACACTGAGCAGCCTCTGCCGCTTTCCGTATGGCGAAGACTTCCGCCTGGAATATGCTGCATTGGTCCGGTAGCTTATAGGACAGCCTTATCTCAGGGTCTGTACAGTATATGCCTGCTCCTACTCCTCCTTCCATCTTGGAGCCGTCAGTATAGATGTTGAGGTGTTGAGTCTGGTCCCGACCCCTTTTCCAATCGTCGGGTCCCATGTATGAGGTTGTTTTTACATCCAGGCCAGTTTGGGGGATGTAGTCAGATATACTGGTCATGTCTCGGCCAATTGAACTGTGCCCGAATCCTTGTAGAGATATATTACCTGATGCTACTAAGCGTTGTGCCGCCTTTCCTGCAGTCAGTTGAGCGTGGATGTCCAGGGGGTCGATTCCGATTATGGTTTCGAGAGCTTTTGTTGGGGCTTTTGTTGGCTTTTGTTGGGGAGCAGTGCCTGCCGCTGGGTCCTTTCCATAAGCTTATTGTACGTCTTCTTTTCTGTCGCTTGCCACCACACTAAGACTCCGTACAGCAGAGTCGGTCGCACCACCGAGATGTAGATCCAGTGCATTAGAGCAGGTGACAGGCCCCATGTGCTGCTAAGCATCTTCTTAGATGCGTATAGCGAAATGGTGGCCTTCTTCACCCTTTCTACTACATTGGGCCTCCATGCCAGCTTACTATCCAGTACTATGCCGAGGTATTTGACTTGTGCTTTCGGGGTCAGCCTGGTTTTATCAATTTTTGGGGGGATCCATGCCGGTACCTTGTATCTCTTGGTAAAGAGGATGAGGTCCGTCTTGTCCGCGTTGATACTGAGTCCTACTTTTCCTGCCCACTCACATATCTCCCTGAGTGTTGACTCCATTATGGAGCTGAGGGTCGATGGACATACTTCCGTAATAATTATGCTTATTTCATCTGCATAGGCTGTTATTTTTGGGGCTCTCCTCTCGAATCTCTTTATTAAGTCGTCGACCACCAGGTTCCACAGGAGGGGCGACAGGACCCCACCTTGTGGTGGCCTGCCTCTAGCCCCCCTCACCATGGAAGCGGTGCCCCACTCTGCGTCTGCAACTTAGAAGGTTCTTTATCCAGAGGTTGATTGCGGGATGTGTGTTGGTCGCTTCTAGGCGGTCCATAATAGCGTTCGTAGTGACGTTGTTGGAGCATATGTCTACGAACACTCCTAGAGCATACTTGTGCTTTTGTACCCGCAAAGGAGTCTATAGCCCAGTGGATTTTCTTAGACGATATGAGACCTGTTGGGGGATGCTCTTCCTCAGTTACTACGTCCTGATGCGTTGTAGCGTCAGCAACCTCGGTGCATCCTGGGAAGTGAGCTTCCATTAGTGCTGTTAGAGCTTCTTCACTGCCCTCAGTCCACTGTCCATCTTCTCGCTTCAGCTGACTCTGTATGGTAGGTTGCTTTGATAGCAGTTTTCGAAGTCTAGCCGTTTCTGGGACTTTCTCGATATTGGAGCAGAAGTTCCTCCACGAGTTTCTTTGTGCCCTGCGTATTTCTTTCTTGTACTCCCTGAGTAGGATTTTGTATTCCTTATTGATTATCTCCTCGTTCGCCTGTTTGGCAGTTTTGAAGAATTCTTTGAGGTTGTTTCTTTGAAGCGATAAGTCCCGGTTCCACCAGAGTGGTTTGGTCCTATTTTCGTTCTCGAGGGTGGGCATGATGCGTGGTACGCATCCAGTAGTTCCTTGGACAGGGTCTCTAGGGACGTTTCTATGTCTTCCGGGGATTTCACTGTGCCCGGGCGAGTCGCGAGCTTCGAAGTAACTGTTTTTTAAAAACTTTTCCCAGTTTGTGTTCCGGGGGTTTCTATTAACAGTTATCTTCGGAGAGTGTTTAAATTCGCACTTGAATTGAATGTACTTGTGGTCTGAGAAGGATGACCTTTCAAGGACTCTCCAGCCAGATACCAAAGTACTCTTTCCCGTTACGAGTGTTAGATCTAGTACGTTGGACGAGGTTGGACCTACGAAGGTGTGTTCCTCCCCTACGTTGGCTACATCTAGGTTAGTTGATAGTATGAAGTCTAGAAGTGACTCACCTCTGTCGTTGATGTCGGGGCTTCCCCACACGCTATGGTGGGCATTGGCGTCCGTACCAACCAGAAGTTGCTGGTCTTTCGGGCTGGCATCCGTCACCAGACTCCTTAGCTCTTCCGGTGGAGCAGGCCTGTCGTGTGCCATATAGCAGGAAGCTACCATAAGGTGCTTTTCCTCGCTTTCTAGCATCACAGCAGTCAGGTCATCAGTGCTGTAATGAGACAAAAGGTAAGCATGGATGCCCTTCCGTACGAGTACGGCGGTTCTGGTCCTGCTTACCGATGGTGAGTGGAAAAGGTTGTAGTTAGAGGACTTTAGTCCGGCCACAGCGTTGCCAGGGGCAATCCATGGCTCCTGGACCAAAGCTATGTCGACGGGACCTTGTTCCATGGCGATGAGGAGCTCCGTCGACGCGAGCTTGCTTTTATGTAGGTTGTGCTGCAGCACCCTCACTGACATGGGAGGCTGGCTCAACTACACTCGACGGGTTGACTATTATTGTCAGGTCTCCGTCCTCCTCCTCTTCGGAGTCGTCCAGCGCCATACCCTGAGCGGCCTCCACAATGGATTCCAGACCGAGGTCCTTCTCCACCTCGCCTGC